GTTTGCTGTTGGATTGTTGGATAAATACCCAGATAAGCAGAGATTAACCCCAGAATTAAAACCAGATGAACAATTAAGCATTGATGATGTTACCTAGTTGGGTCATGAAACGTCTGCAAGAAAACAACCAAGCTCAAAGGAGCACCAGGGACCCTATAGTTCTCCCCCTCCTCCTCCTCCTCGCAAACCCCTTTCCCTTCTAGCACTGATGATATTACCTAGTTGGGTCATGAAACGTCTGCAAGAAAACAACCAAGCTCAAAGGAGCACCAGGGACCCCATAGTCGTCTTCCTCCTCCTCCTCCTCTTCCTCCTCCTCCTCGCAAACCCCTTTCCCTTCTAGCACTGATGATATTACCTACTTGGGTCCTGAAACATCTGCAAGAAAACCACCCAACTCAGAGGCCACCAAGATCTCCATCTCCTTTTCCCCACAGCAATGACTCTGTGAGGTGAGTTGGGCTGAGTGAGAATGACAGGCCCATCCAGCCGGCATTCATGCCTACAGCGGGGCTAGAATTCACCGTCTCCTGGTTTCTAACTTGGTGCATTAAACATTAGGCCAAACTCTTCCTCCTTCTCTTCCTCTGTGCATTCCCCACTTCAGTCTGATGATGTTACCTAGTTGGGTCACGAAATGTTTACAAGAAAACCACCAAGCTCAGAGAGCAGCAAGGACCCCACAGTCCTCCTCCCCCTCCCCCTCCTCTTCCCCCTCCTCCTCTCCCTTGCACTGATGTTACCTAGTTGGGTCATGAAACATCTGCAAGGAAACCACCAAGCTCAAAATTGGAAAAATGAGAAAATTCCGATAGAGGAGGGGGTGATTAAGAAAATAATGGAATGTGCAGAAATGAGTAGATTAGCATTAGCAATTAGAGAGCAAGGAGGAAAAGTATATTTTAAGATATGGGATGTAATTTGTCAATGGTTAGATAGAAAAGTAGGAGATTGAAGTATAATACAACAGCCATGATATACTATAATTGATTATTATAGAATGAATTATAATATGAATTAAAATCAGATAAAATTCGAGATTTGCTCTAAAGGTAATGTGGATTTGGAATTAAAGTCCAATGATGATGTAATAATAATATAATATGACGTGGAAAGTTGATTAATGTAATATGAAGGTAAACTTAAATCTAAGAGGAAAAGACTAGAATGGAATAGAATAGAATAGAATAAAATAGAATAGAATAGAATAGATAAAGGAAAGAATAGAATAGAATAGAATAGAATAGAATAGAATAGAATAGAATAGAATAGAATAGAATAGAATAGAATAGAATAGAATAGAATAGAATAGAATTCTTTTATTGGCCAAGTGTGATTGGACACACAAGGAATTTGTCTTGGTGCAAATGCTCTCAGTGCACATAAAAGAAAAGATACATTCGTTAAGAATCAAGAATCATAACGTGCAACACTTAATGATAGTCATAGGGTACAATCAGCAATCAAATCATACTAGGAAACAGTCAGTATAAACCGTAAGGATACAAGTGACAAAGTTACAGTCCTACAATCACAAGTGGGAGGGGATGGGCGATAAGGAGTGACGAGAAGATTAACAGTAATAGATTCTGTGCACAAGAAATATGCACCAACCGACACACTGTATAATGGGAAGAAGGTTTTATTTGCTGTGTTATGTTTGTTTGTTGTTAAAAGTAAAAAAAGTAAAAAAAAAACTTGATTAAAAAAAAACTCCCACCAAGCTCAAAGAGCACCATTTCAACTCTGCGATACAAACATTCTCCTTTATCGGTTTGCATGTATTTGATTAGAGAGATTTCAGATGCATCAGGAGAAACTCCTAGGATTGAATTAAATTAGCCTGGCATCCCAGGCCAGGTTGGTGCTGGGACGACGTCACGATGAAAGCTTTGGGTGGCACATCCAAAATTTGTTGACAATTCTGGGTGTTGAAGTCCAACCCACTTAATGTTGCGAAAGCTGAGAAACACTGAAAAGTGTAGTCCTCCACTTACAACCGTTCACTCAGAAGTTACAACGGCACTGCAAAAAGTTACTTATGACCGTTTTTCATACTTAGCGACCGTCGCAACACCCATGTGGTCACGGGATCAAAATTCAGATCCCTGGCAACGGACTCGTATTTACGATGGTCGCCATGTCCCGGGGGTCATGCAATCTCCTTTTGCGACCTTCCAACAAGCAAAGATTCTCTTAACAACTGTGTGACTAACTTAACAACAGCGGTGATTCACTTAACGGCGGCGACCAGAAAGATCGTAAAGTGGGGGCGAAACTCACTTTACCAACTATCTTGCTTAGCCACAGAAGTTTTGGGCTGAATTGCGGTCGTAAGTCGAGGAACTACCTGTATCAAATTCATCTCGAAATCCTGCATACACACTCAGACAAGATAAAAGTCAAGCCCAAAAGTTCTGGCAGAAAATTCAGAAATGGTTAGAAGAGATGTGTAAGATTAAAATAGAATTCAGACCTGAAATTTTCCCGTTAGGAATTAATGTGGGAAAATATGATAAAGATATGATATACCTAATAATTCATGTAATTACTGCTGCAAGATTGGCCTGTGCACAACAGTGGAAATATAAAGAAACTCCAAGTGAAATAGAAGTAATCAGGAAAACTGGGATGTGTGCAGAAATGGACAAATTGACAAAAGAATTAAAAAATAAGGATGAATCGGATTATTACAAAGTATGGGATAAGTTTTATTGTTGGTTAGAAAAGAGGAAGGATCATGATAATAAGAAATGATTACATGTATATAATATATACTATGTATATAGAATGTAAATATGTACTATTTTTATATGTGACTTAGCAATGTAAGACAACTATGTGGGTTGGAGGATTGCACCATGTTCATTGTTTTTAATGTTCTTTTCTTTTTTGTGTGTTTGTCTAATAAAAAATTAATTTTTTAAAAAAGATAAAAGTCAGAGGTATGGTAGAGATTTAAACCGACACTATCTAGATCTGGCTACCTGTTGAAAGAGGGAGTATAACCTCTCATCTAAGTATTCCTTCTTTTATTTAACTTAAAAGATAGTGAAAAGCACTTTCGGTTTCCCAACAGCTAGCTCTATTTATAATCTCTTAATAGTTTTACTATCCACATTGAGCTGTGCATGTACAGGCACCCAGGGCTGTGGCTTACAAGTACAGGAGACAAAGAATGTTCTTTTTTTCTTTTCTTATTGCATTCCAAAGTTTCTTTTTTATTAGTCAAGTTTTTTATTGTGTTTTATATTGCTTATACATATCGATGCGTGAACCTGAACACCTAGTAAAACCACACCTAGAGTACTGCATCCAGTTTTGGTCACCACACTATAAAAAAGATGTTGAGACTCTAGAAAAAGTGCAGAGAAGAGCAACCAGGATGATGAGGGGACTGGAGACTAAAACATATGAAGAACGGTTGCAGGGACTGGGCCTGGCTGGTCTAGGGAAGAGAAGGACCAGGGGAGACAGGATAGCATCTTCCAATATTTGAGGGGCTGCCACAGAGAGGAGGAAGGGGGTCAAGTTATTTTCTAAAGCCCCCGAAGGCCAGACAAGGAATAATGGATGGAAACTGACCAAGGAGAGATTCAACCTGGAGATAAGGAGAAACTTTCTGACGGTGAGAACAATCAACCAGTGGAGCAGAAGTTGCCCTCAGAAGTTGTGGGAGCTTCATCACTTGAGACTTTCAAGAAGAGTTTGGATTCCCATCTGTCAGCAAAGGTATAGGGTCTCCTGCTCGGGCAGGGGATTAGACTAGATGACCTACAAGGTCCCTTCCAACTCTGTTAATCTGAATCTATCTAAGATAATCAAAGGCCTGGAGACTAAAATGAATGAATGAATACAAATGAATACAATGAAATGAATACAATGAATGGTTGCAGGAACTGGGCCTGGCTAGTCTAGGGAAGAGAAGGACCAGGGGAGACAATGATAGCAGTATTCCAGTATTTGAGGGGCTGCCACAGAGAGGAGGAAGGGGTCAAGCTATTCTCCAAAGCCCCTGAAGGCCAGAGAAGGAATAATGGATGGAAACTGAACAAGGAGAGATTCAACTTGGAAATGAGAAACTTTCTGAGAGTGAGAACAATCAACCACTGGAACAGAAGTTGCCTTCAGATGTTGTGGGAGCTTCATCACTTGAGACTTTCAAGAAGAGATTGGACTGGCATCTGTCAAAAATGGTGTAGGGTCTCCCGCTTGGGCGGGAGGGTGGACTAGATGACCCACAAGGTCCCTTCCAACTCTGATTATCTGTTATCACTGTTACCTGGGCATCATACATTTTGGTACAAATAAACATAATATTATCACTCATGACTATTACATTTCATTTTCATCGTTTCATATTATTTAAACACACCTGACACTACCGCCATTCGATTTCTAAACCTCCCTCTTGTTATTACATTATATCTTATTATATTAAAATCTGTGTATTGTTCTGCTTCAGCTGCTGCTGGACACTCACTCCCTGAAAATGGTCCTGCTCGACCTGCCGTCCATCGGCTCGCAGGTGGTGAGGAAGGCGCCTGCCAGCTACACGAAGATTGTGGTCAAGGGCATGACGCGAGCCGAGATGATCCTGAAGGTAGACCTTGTCTTGCTTCTAGACCGGCTTGCCCTCCAAATAATTTCTGAGGAGGGAAGGGACTGGATACCTGCCTGAAGCCATCTCGTAGGACAGATATTATTTATTTGTTTGTTTGCTTGTTTCCCTTATTGTTTTTACAAATAAGGTCGTGAACATATCTAATATTCCTTCCTGCTCCTATTTT